CTCTCTCTCTCTCTCTCTCTCTCTCTCTCTCTCTCTCTCTCTCTCTCGTTTTTCGAGACAGGATTTCTCTGTAGCTTTGGAACCTGTCCTGGAACTAGCTCTTGTAGACTAGGCTGGTCTAGAACTCACAGAGATTTGCCTGCCTCTGCCTCCCCGAATAATGGGATTAAAGGCATGCATTGCCACCACCCAGATTTTTTTTAAAGGACTTTATCCTTTTTCTTTTCTCTCCCAAGCCCACATATATTTTTAAACACACTCTAAACCATTTAGAGGTTTACTTCATCTGAATCTATCTTTACTGTATATATCTCTTTTTCTAACCATGTGAGTCTTTCATTTGCTAAGCGATATGGCTAGTGTTGGATCCTAGAGTTCAATCACTGAGAAGGAGTTGCCCCAAGAGACCATCTGTCACACCACAGCTGATGTAAAAGCATGAGGATTTTATTAATTCTGTCATGACAGGGTCTCTCAGCATTCGGGAAGTCGAAAGACCCTGAATAGCTGGTACAGACTACTGTTAAAGGAAAAAGTCACAGAAGCAAGGGGGTGTCTGGGGGGTTGTTCTTTGACTATTATGATTGGCTTATTCAAAAGGGCTATTACCAATAATTGGCTCGAGAGTGGTTGCCAGATCAGATGAGGTAAGAGGTCACTTTGACCCTGTTTCCCAGGGATTGAGTCAAAACATACGTGTGTGGGTAATTGTTCAGGAACTGAATCAACATCTTAAAGGTTATCTTGCCCCAATTTCTAGAGAACATATGTACATGTGTAGCTGAAAAGTCCTTGGTTCCCAGGGGGAAGGGGAGAGCATTACTGCTGAGACTGAGAGGGCTCAGAATTGTCAGAAATGACTTTAGAGTTATTTTATAGAGTTCTGCAGCTAGGATCAAAGTCATGGCTTTGACGGCTGGATCCACCCCATTCCTTAGCTTTCTGAGAGCCATGTTTATTGCCACAATTCTATGGTGTTTCAAGGTCCCTGCCGCCACCAAGAAGCATGCTTTCATGCTTTCATTCTATTCATAAACACCATTTAAGTGTTTGCTCTTAAAACACCTGCAAGGTTTTATTTATTTATTTATTTATTTATTTTTGTTTTTTCCGAGACAGGGTTTCTTTGTAGCTTTGGAGCCTTTCCTGGAACTAGCTCTTATAGACCAGGCTGGTCTCGAACTCACAAAGATCTGCCTGCCTCTGCCTCCTGAGT